TTCAGACAAGATTACTTTTTCACTAGAAAATCTAATTTTATGGATAGAGGTCTCATATTTTAACCAGAAGCAATGGCCAGAAGTTAAAAGTGTCTTTATGATAGATTTGGATTACTTGTGGATTCTTGTGATCATTCTGACGGCACCCATTCACTGCAAAGGATTTTGGCAAGCAACTAATGTAATGCTAAAATTTCCCAAATCTACTCTCATGAAGAAATGGTACATTTTCTGCAAATGCTATTTGGGTGATCTATTTCTTTAACTAAAACTTAAATTAAACTAAAACAAATTAAAAAAAGTTACTTAAATGTTAACTGTAATAAAATATAAAACATTTTACCTTATTTTATTTCAGCTAGTTTAATACTTAAATGACTAAAACTGAAATCAGAAAAAAATGTTTAAAAAAAATACATACAACAAAAACAAATAACAATAAAATTACTGTAACTACATTTCAAAATTAAAATGGAAAACATCAAAATAAAAAGTAAATAGTCAAAATATTAACAAAACCTATTCTATATCATTGATAATAAAACAACACAGCTGGCAGCTTTGCTGGAAACTTTCTTAAGCTGAATGACCGAATGTCATGCAACCATTCTAAAAAAAAATCATGTGTCTAAAAATGATAAAGAAGATATGAACGTGGGCCAGAATGGAACTACAGATGAGCTTGTATGGAGCAGACATCTCAGACCCCTTGAGCGTGATACAGCATGGCTGTGCCTGTGGCTCTAAACAGCCTCACGTGACACAAACTCAAAAGAAGGACTTGTACTTGTGTGTGTGTGTGTGTGTGTACGCTTATCAGTATGAACATGCTGCTCCGTGAGCAGCTGGGCCTCCTGCCTCCACTTCGTTCTAATCACCCCTCCCCTTGTCAAACTTTTGCCGAATCATATTTCATATTAAGAACAGCTTGTTGGATTATATATATAACATATATATAAATAATCATGCAACAGAAGCGGGTCATGTGAGAGGGGTGATGTTATTCTCACGAAATGATGATGGCCCCCATCAGCTTTCTGCACTCCCTATTTATCTCTGTGCTGGGTCTGTGTGAAGGGCATGTCCAGAATCAGGTAGATTCTTGAATAAAATAAGCTTCCAGTAAACGTTTATGTAAAATGACGTTTGTCATTTTTATTTATTTTCTTAAATGTGTGTATATATATATAGTATTTATAGAGTTTTAGCTTTTAGTTTTAATTACTTTTTCTTATTTGTAAGTCGCTTTGGATAAAAGCGTCTGCTAAATGACTAAAAGTAAAAGTAAAGTAAACGAATAAACACTGGGGATAGTTTAGCTAGTTAAAAAAAAAAAAATCACTTGCCCCTTTTGTTCTTTATAATAATTAATAATAATAAATATTTTAGAATTATTTATTTATTACTTTATTTATCACCATGCTAGCGTCAATAATTATACTCAAATAAATAAATAAAATAATACAATATATAATTAAACTTCTTACAAAATTAAAATAACTAGATAAAATCTTTCAGTGTAACATTTGATAGAAATTCTAAATATTTCCTAGGAAACCTTAAAAAAACGACATTTCTGAATACAACTGTTGCCTACACCTCCTTTTCTTAGGCAAAAGTTGTATTCAGAAATGTCAAATATATATATATATATATATATATATAGAGAGAGAGAGAGAGAGATATAGATATATAGAAATTAGCCCTTTTGACGCAAGCCATTTTGCAATATTCAAACAGTATCAAACGTAGCTCTGCGGTTTTGGAAATCCCGTTTCTTTAATAAAACATGAATCTAGTTGTTTCACAGACCCCTTTCTGAACTTCAGCAGGGCATTTCGGGTGAACACGTGCCTTCCTTTTTGAATTTAGAGAGAAATGCACGCATCACAT